TCCTACCTGTACTATGCGCAGCGGCGAAAGCTGCACCTGGAAAGCGGGCCAACGCTACCGAAATACTCGCCAAATACCAATGTTTCTGCGGCATCAGTGAGAGGGAAATGGGTGAGGTATCGTTCGGTTAGCTGAATCTCTGGTTTTATCACGGTATTACTTACTCTTGTTGTCGATAGATTCTGCACCGAGGCATGCCTGGACCCGGACGATCTCCTAAAAAACATGACTTCAGCAGACGTCAAATCCTGGTTCGACTGGATCGAAAAGAACTTCAAAGGGTCTATCAAAGCCCACAGCGCGCTTGCCAACTACTGGAGAACTTTGAAGAGGCTATACTCTTTGAAAAACCGCCGGGAGATGGATGCAGATATGAGGAGAGATTGCCTCAACGTAGGTGATGGTCTCCAAGTACCTATTCATGAGATCTATCTAATGGCAAGCCCTAGTATATGAATGTTGTCAGTTCGAGAATGGCTTTGCGTAAGCACCCACTGCCAAAGCCGACAGGCCAGTCGGAGGATCTTTTGCAGTATCTTGTGTCCCATCTTGTGGATTGTGATTCGGTGTTCGCGGACGAAAAGCAGCGTCTCTACGCCCTCTCGGGGCTCAATCTGTCCTGTATCTCTGCCAGTCGAGCCGTATCTTTTTTTGACACGAGACACCGCCTTCAATTTCAGGCGGACGGCACTTTGGTACCACCTGTAGACACGTCAGCTAAGGTTAGAACGCCTTTGTCTTCCATCGAGGAGCCCCTGTGTGATCCAGGCACCAAAATCTACTTGCAAAACGACGATCATGCGGAAGGAGGCTCGACATCCGAGACGAGCTCGTATTCTGACTCGGAAGTGGATACGGCGAGCGACAGCGATCACCAGTCGGACTGTTCCAGTGTCACAGATGACGGGTACCTTAACGGGAATGAGGAGACGGGCACTATTCTTTGGCGGCACGTGGAGTTCTACATTGTTCGTAACCCAGTGCCTGGACGTCGCCATATCTTAGCCGCCATTGTGTCCATCCTGCATACTAAAGGGGAAGGAAGGAAGTTTCGGCTGTAAGTCATCGAGCCACGTGATAATGAGGTGGTGCCACGTACTTACTTAATCACTAGGAAGAGATACGTTATCGAGCACGAGGATAATTTGATATTCGATGTGCTATCACAGCTTCTGGCGCTGGCAATACATGATGATATCTTCGAGGCTACTATTCAAGATGTGTCCCATATATACACAGTACCAATTCCTGATCATCGAAAGGGCATCCAGCTGAAGATAAAGAGAGAAAAGCTGGATGTATCGGTCTTCCGTGAGCCTGAACGTACTCCCCAGGGCTACAGGACATCTGATTCGTGCCCTCTGAAGTCCAAGACCTGGAGCCGATATGTCAAACGGATTGGAGTGCGAAGTGGCCAGGAACGTAACCTTACACAGAAGGTGTTCCGGCGCGGTGCAATTAATGCCATTAATAGTAAGACCACCTTTGGTACTGCTCATTCTTTATGGCTTACATGAACATCAATTTAGACAGCGCTCCATCCTCGATCCGTGATCAAGTCGCGGATCACGAATCTAATGCCGTGAAATACTACCTCAATGAGATAGTCGATTTTGATACAGCGGCAGCGTTTCACAAACGCCCATCGAACGAGGTCGTTCAACGTGAGCTGAGATCAGCGACCTTGCTGGCAGATAAAACCGCACCTATTGGATTGACGGCTACCCAGGCTAAAAAAATCACTACAGACCCAGAGGTCCGTCGTCTTCGAAGAGTCTGTCGCGCATTGACTGCGGAAATTCGCAGCCAGGGCTATAAACGTGTGAAGGATGCCGCAGGCACCGAGATTGGTGAGCGGAAGAAACGTGCAGATGCCGAGCTCAACAGTACACTTACGAGGCTCCGAGAGGAGGAGAAGGAGAGGAATCGCCGAAGGCACTTTAGGAAGACAGACACGGCTATTTTCAACCAACAGTACGAGCTCGATCGGACCTCTCCTGAGGCTAAACTACAGCCTCATGTGGCCCGGACCTACCAAATCCTCGAGCGCAAGGAGCTCGTTGATCTGCTCTGCTATTCAACTCCTACCAAAACAGACGAAGAAGCTCATCTTCGACGGTTAAGGTACATCCGCCTTATGGTCCGATGGCAAGACCGGAAGGAGAGCCCTCGGCGGGGTAAGCAGTCAGTGACCATACCAAAGCCCCAGGCAGCGAATCCTTCATCTGCCTGTGTCGTCGAAAATTTCGACCCACTGCAATGTCCATTCTGCCTTTCGGACACGCGCCTCTCACCTGCTGACCGCACGAAGCGAAAGAGCAAAACAAACAAGCTCTGGGACCACGTGGAAAGGATTCATGAGCAAGAGCTTGCAGCATTTGACTCGGGATTTCGCAAATGCGGACTATGTAGGCTGAAGAATATTGACTTTGTGCCATCTAGCGTGTCCAATTTCAAGAACCACACCCACACCGTCCATGGAATCAGACTTAGACCCTAGTTTGATTCGCTCAAATAGATGAATTTGACTTCGTGAAACTTGCACAGACTTTAGCAATTGAAGAATAAAGCTCTTGACCACAACATGGCAGTATACTGTTGATGCGATAGATGACGTTGAGAAGGAGACTTTCATCGCTTCTTGTGAGTTTGGTTACAAGGGAAGTTATACTACGCCCTACCGGAAAGGTAACGGAATTAACAATCACTCTGGTATAGATGGTGAGTAGACCGGAACGTGCCACAAGAAAATTAGGTAAGCTTCAACTTAAATGGAGCGTGACTAATTGAGAGATATCCGCAACACAAGACTAGGGGCCTGGATCAGAGCCGGAACCGGAGCCGGACCTGGAAGCATTAGAACCAGAACCAGAGAGCCGCAACACCCTCTATAAGTGGGATCAATCTACCGAAAAGGCACAGAGAAAGAAGTATAGTTCGTCTATCCTACCCCACTGGAGATTGAATTAGGGAATTTATTCTGTGTTCGAACTCCTTATGAACCGCGGTGGAGTCAATTCAGAGGTCTTCCTTTTGCCGGAGATGAGGCTACAACTTCCCCTAATCCGAACCTTCTTGCGCACGCAAGATAAACCTTTTTGTGACACGATATCTTGTTGACACATTTAGAGAACAGTGTTTGAAGTCACATCATCGTGACCTTTCCGATTTTCCCCTCAACGGGCAACACATCATTTTCCGCCACAGAGAATGGACTCCCTTGACTGCTATTTAATTGATTCTCATCTCGCCCTTGTGCACGAGGGCATCAGCTGCAATTGAGCAGCTTGCCGTGATGCTCCCAGGTTTGCTGAAATGACTGCGTTCCTCGCCCATGCGGTGAAGTTGCATTTATACGATGTCAATATAGAACTCCATCATCTTCTCGAAAGGTGCTGGCTGGCTTCCTACGATAGTCTATTCCGTGAGAGCCTGGAGAATAAACTGAGACCAAGAAGCCAGAACAGCAGCGAGATTCCCGCCTACTCTGTCGGTTCATCGACTCACGCCAGCTGAAAATTTGCAATGCTACTGCCACCGCCACGTCGCGAGTCCTCCGCTGCGTCGGGCTAAGAGAAGTAGATCATGATATGCAGAGGCTTCCCAAAACAGCGGCCGTCCTGCTCACTGTATTATATATTGGGATTCTCGTCTGCATTTTTTGGATGTTTGTTTCCCCTTAATTCGGAGTTATAGTCTATCTCTTACTACATATGCTGTATTGAGCTCCAGAAGAGACATTCCTAATATACAGCGGTGTTGGTGGTGAATTCATACTGGCCCCTCGCCTTGGCGAGACCGCTACCCAATTCTTATATACGTCTTACGGTACACCATTGATTTTCGGCAGATTTGGAGCCTCATCGAGGCCTTTGGTGGTACATGTCTGATGTTCCGTTCCGCGGCCTTGCGGCCCGCGGCTCAGCGATCTTGGAGTCCAGATTGAAGGGCTCCTTGCTAGTGCCCTTAGCAATCATGTTTTACTACAGAACACTCATACGACGATTACCTTGGGCCTAGAATGGCCAATCAGGTCGGGCAGTACCGTTGCCTGCTTCTAGTGCCAGCTGCTTGGAGACGCTTTCTGGAAGCAATGCAGTCCATAGAGATTCAACCGTCATAGGTAGTCACATGTGCCTAAACGAATATTTATTACGCTCTTAAATTCTCCCCAGCAACATAGAAAGATGACGCTTCTTGGGAGACATATTCTCGGCTTCTGCTCGACCCGTGGCTCTAGAGACCAAGAATAAAAGCCGCCTGTTCTTGTTGAGTCGGCCTTTAGATACAAGCCTCTGCTCCTCATGCTCAGAGATCAAGGTTATGGCATTGCTGCTGTCAACAGTGACTGCGCAATAACACTGTGCGCGGCTGATGCTTTCAAGGCCTTTTTCTTTCCTTTTCTTTTTTTTTTTTTTTTTTGAATAGATTTTATTCAAAGGGCGAGTATTTCTTTCATGAAACCTTCCGTGCGACTCTTTCTACTGGTGAAGAATCGGCAGGATTCAATTAAAAATGGACTGATTGTTTCCCCTCTCGCTCAAAAGCTAAAAAAAATCATCTCGATGTAACCTGGTGATACTGGTGCCTACTGGCCCGGCTATCAGATTTTGGAAAAGATTATGAATACGGGGGCGACTGGAGTTGTCCTGGATGGCTGCCAATGCGAATTAGAGGCATGTCTCCATGAGACCCGGCGGGTTTGCGTTCTATTCCTTTATCCAGTTGCTCCTGTTCTTCCTCGGCCCTCATCAGCTATCTAGGTACTCATCCAATGCCTGTTGTCTGTAAGAGATGTAAATACTACTTCTGGTATAGTGAACCATGCCTGCTATGCACGACCCATTCACACCTGAATTCCAGGCTCATTGTTTTGTTGCTGGGGGTTGGGTGTTGATAGGTGTTTCAGTTCCTGCTCGGTGGAGTATGTTCGCTGGAAATGCTCGTGCAGCGACTAAAAGTATCTGCTTCTTCTGGGGAACCAGGGACATGCATGAATCGCGGTATAAAGTGCCATCCGCGTAGCAATATCACAGATTGAAGGATAAGGGCACGCACTCCTCCGGGAATTTACGGGACGAAGCCCTGCCCTGCGTCACGGAAGATCATGGCACATGACTGTGCTCTGCTGCACAGACTGAGCGCTCAGTGACTAATCTGATTTGATCACTGGGTAGGACTGAGTCAAGGGTGAGTAGTCTGAGAGGCACAGTGAAATGTTATGTTAGGGCTCTGATACATGGTACCCTCAATATTAATTGACCCTCATCCTCACCACCCGGGCAAATGCGGTCAGCCTGGACCAGCTCAAAGTGGATAAAAATGGAATCCCGTCGTCAGCCTACAAGAGCGAGTATCGCTCATTCATATGCTACAACTAGCATGGGGGCAGAGATACAACACTGGTGGTTAATACATGACCCAGTTGTCGATGGTGGACTACCATATCCCTCAGAACCACACATGGGATCTCCAGCCCATTGAAGCAAGCACTGGTCATACTGTGGGAACCTTTCCTATCAGATGCTGGACACTATTCTCACCCTTTTCTTCTACTGCCTTCAACGAGACACCAAATTCCCATGCTGCAAATACCGTTTGGAGCATTCTCTGTCTTGCACATAGTACTAGAGGCCTTGCTCAAGCTGGGCAATATTGATTGACCACACAAACCTGTTGTCGTTGCGTGCTTCGTCCTAACCCCTAAATCCCATATCACAAATCCCTTGTCCCGACAGGGTATTCTCAACCATAATATCTGATGTTTCTAGGAGATAGTCCCTACATGATGCACCGGTCAATTCTGATAGCGGTTTGGCCAGCCAGAACACTGGCCAACTCACAACGGACTCCAACCCCGCAGGTACAAAATGCCCGGTCGGGCGATACCCAGACCCACCCGATTGGTTAGGACAGATTCCATGGTGTTGACACCGACAAGATTGTTTGCTGCGCAATTGGGATGGTCCATTACAACCGAGTCCAAGTGGTCACCAGCGAGGTCAGTTCATGCAGGTAAATGCTACAAATTCGCGGAGGACGCGGGTTAAACATACAAGAGAGAGTTAATCTCACCAGATCGTACCTAATGGGATTCTAGGGGCAGGGATCAGGAGTTTGACCTGGTGAACTGCCCTTATACGCCATAGACTATATCGACCGGTTACTAACCGTCTCGACCGGTTGTTGAACCTCAGGTGGGGATTTTGCCCAAGTAAACCGCCTAGAGTACATCGATTTTGCCCCGCAACAGTTTTGAGGTGTGCCAATATACATGGGCCGCTTGTTGCGGAGGGCACTCTCTTTGTTAATTGAACATTTGTCTATGATTGACCTGTATTCTGCCCACAACTTGTGTCGGGAAAATTAACGGCTTGCATTCCATACCGAACTGAAAGGCCCGCTTACTCTGTGCATATGTACGTGATGTTGTTCAATGTCTTGCTCCATACGATACCATAAATAGGGAAAGTATCTGTTCAAAGCCATTCCGGTTTTATTAGAAACTGTTGTGATATAAAGCTGTTGCCGCGGAGGAACGATACCGCAAAGCGGAAATAATTCTCATCTATGCGAGTTGACTTCCAATCAATTTGGACTTCATGCTGTATATATATCTTCTTTGCATCCCTTTGAAATAAGAAGAATCAAGCTTCCTATTCGCATTACAACAGAATCGCCTCAACCCCGACGTACAAATGCGGTGCCCCAGATACTCTATGCGGTACTCTCGTATATGCCATCACCGATATTCTCCTGTCACAATGATTCTGCTTCTCTCTTGTGTTTGCCTCGCTATTGCCTTCCAGCCCTTACGTCCTAATGTCTCGGTACAGTGACGATGCCCCTTTCCCTACTAGCGGGAACTTTACTGTTGGCACTGACCAATAATATTAGAGTCGTGATGCCAAAGGACTTGTGAAGGACGGATATCTCCAAGACCCAAGTATGTTGTGCAAGAGGCATCATTGGTCACTGCCAGCTGATCTGCCGCGTAGGAACTGCAACCGAACGAGCGTTGTCAGGGGCTACTAATACTACTACCACTCTCACTTTCACGGACATCGTGTGTCCAGGTATAGGAATACCAACTCCAGAAGTATCGAACGCGAGCGCCTATCGTTCATCACATTCCCGGGAGCGGCCACCCGCGGTAGCAACTGTTGGCAAACCCAATCATTGTCCCATATCAGTCGAGAGCTAATCGGCTATGTATATCAGGAGCATGAGATCGTTTCATCCCCACCAGCTGCTGACCTGGCCAACAATGTCATTTCAGCAAGTTGCTGCGTGGGCCTGGTAGGCAGATGTAACGGATATATACTGGACTCATGTGCTAACACTTGCATAGGGGTCGCTCTATTCACTGGCTAGTAAGACTCTGCTCAGAGCCACCATGGAAGGGACAGATTCTCAGCCAATCAAACCAGCGGCTATATCTACAGTGTCCAGCGCACTCGGAAGGTTAGCATCAACTACAAAGCTACTGAACTCGGTTGTCTCTAATTCATCACTCAGTGGGCATGCTACATCCGCGTCTTCTCAAACGGCCCGGGATCCTAAGGCTTCAACTGCTTTGGACATGCTGGCTACTGTAGCAGAGGCAAATGCTCACTCAACAGAAACCCCTGATAAGGAGGCAGGGAAAGCTGCTACCCCATCCACAACATTCCATATTACATCATCCACCACTACCAACGACATCGGTGCCACACCGAAGACAACCTCTTCTCCAACCCAGACAGCTACTACAGAGAACGTCGGTTGGGGCAGCATGATTGAGTCTAGCTTCAAGACTACGATCTATTGTTCTTTCACCGAGCGGTGTGGTCATCCAGATATTTCCTCGCCCTCTCTCCA